AAGTCATATTCTGTCAAAGCAATTAAACTTCGGAACTCTCTACCAATAGATATAAGACGCACGCAGTCACGCAACCCATTGCTTAAATTAATTTTATTCCTTTATTTTTTTCTTCTTGTCAATTGTCCTCAACCTGGACTTTCTTCCTGAACTTGTACTCTATCTGCTAATTTACAATCGTATATTTTTTTTGTTCATTTTAGATTATGTTACTATTATATTTATAAATATTCTCAAGTGCTGATTCTCTTAATGCACGAACTCGCAGTTAATTTCCATAATTGGTATCATATCCTTTAGCCTATATTAAACAATTAAATTTGTTTTTCCATATTATATTTGGAAAAACAAATTTAATTGTTTAATACGCTGAAAGTGGTACTGCAATTCATAATAATGATTTAATAGATGTATAACCTTGACAGTTCGTAGCATGTGTGGTAGCTTTATTACTAACGGAATGACTACATTAATATTGAGATCGGATGCATTTAATCTGGAATATTTAATGGATTCATACCCAAGAGCACTTAGGAATTATAATTTTCAGAGTTGTTTCTTTGTTCTAGCTCATTCATATATTTATTTTTGTTTCTTTTTGTGCTGTATTTCGAACTCACTACACATAAAACCACTTACTAATTAAGAATGAAAGGAAAATTAAAGGGTGAAAGATTATAAGAAAATCATAGACTTCATGTGAGTAAACAATTATGACATGGAAAGCTTATGCAATGTATAATGCTTAGATTATATAATATACAATCTATGTGTAATCCAATGAAATGCGTTATTTGCAATAAAAAAGTCTTTTATAAGTACACAGTAACTAAAATCTATTTGAAAAGATTAACTTCAATATCGTGAAAAAAAAAAAACACAACGAATAATCAAAAATTCCAAATGGGAATACAAAATGTCGTCACTTCCCCAAAAAGCGAATGTCACAAATAAATTGTTTGAAAAAGGATTTCATCCGAACCCACACGGGAATTCAGATGGAATTCGATTTTCGTCTGTGAACAATTCGTAGCAACATGACTAGAATAACTAACTATAGACATTGACAGTGGAATTAATCGTATATGTCGGCGCATCGATTGTACCGCAATTATTCGATATTGATTCCTAAATGAAAGTGAATTAACAAATACAAGTTGCCGCCATTTTGGCGGACATTCTGTTGCCTATCGAGGAGTAAAGACATCCGACGACATCACGCTGATCTCGTTATACTTTTCGTATGAAAAGTAATAAAATGGAATAACTCCACATTGGTATACACGCCTGCAGTGTTATTTTAAAGATAGTCCTCCGATATGGACGATCTATTTGGGCTCCGTAATAGCCCCCTGAGAATACCCGCCTACATATAAAAACGTGAGGATTTATTAAAAAATATTTTTCTTCACTGTTGACTCTAAATATTTTGATTACATTTTTACTAGCGACTTTTTTTAATGTCCATGTTCATTTTTAAAATCTTTATTCAAATAAACTTATTTATATATTATATAATAAACTTTTTTTCGTACTTTTAGATTTTTTCAAGTTTTTTTTTTACTTACTATTTGTACAAGATGTCTTTTGTTTATAAGAAGAACTAGAGAAAAAGAATCTCGACCGCTCTAATAGAAGTAACGACATTTCCAAAAGTCATGCCATTACCAAATCAATATTAATATTATTAAAGTTAATATTACAACATGAAAAAGTTATGGGAGCGGTTCTAAGGGAGCTGGGCTGGATGGAATAACTTCACTCTCACCCTTCACACGCAAAACAGGCGCAATTATCAGACAGACAGACAGTCGTCGAGTTGCAGAGACGCCAGTGAGAAGAAGAAGAAGATCAGAAAGTTTTACAGGGGACAGTCAAGCGAAGATCATCATCATTATCATCATCAGCCCTTTGACGTCCCCACTGCAGGGGCTCAGGCCTTCCTTATGGATGGTTTAGGAGGATGGGCTATGACCCTCCACGCTGGCCCAATGCGGATTGGAAGGTATTAACGACTGCAAATGCAGCCGGGACTAACGGCTTAGCGTGCCTTCCGAAGCACGGAGTAGCTCGAGATAATACATTTTTGGTCATCCATTCCGTGACCGACCCTTGCGGAAGTTGCTTAACGACAACGATCGCGGCCCGCGGCGCATATCCACTACGCCACCGAGCTACGTTTGACCGTTTATTAGAACTAATAGTTGCTCAGTGATTAAAGTTCGCTAAAAAAGGAATAGTCTTATATCAAAAAAATTACAACGATAACCACAAGGACTACGTATAGAACATTAACTCAGACCTGAAATGTATTTAGCATTTTGCACGCATCGTTCGATATCACTACACTCTTTGTTGAGATACCTAATTTATTTTCGACTGAATTATTTCCAATGCAATTTTTTTCTGTACCAAATTCCATACTTCGTAAAAAGACCTAAGATTACACGCCTAATCCGGGCATCTTTTGTCTTATATAAATAATTTTAGGTTTGTATATTGATTAGCGAACTACTATTATTTAATTATTATATTTGAGCAATTTTTCATTCACAATTCTATATCGAAAAATATTTTTAACGAAAAATGCTTAAAGAAATCACATTACCCTGGTACTCTGAGACGGGACTCGAGCCCATGACCTTTATATATCCAAACAAGACACGAATTTTTCAAGCATTTATTACTTTTTTGCTACTACAGAGTGTATTTTCATCAATGTTCATGCAACCCGCCCAAACAGCTGAAAGATATATTTTAACAAAATTTTTACCTTCGATAATGATAAGAATTCCTTCTAATTATTATATTTGATAAATTTTGCATAATTTTAATATCATTTAAGTTTATATATTTATCAACGACTGCAGCCACTCGAAGGAAGTCTGCTTCTAGACGAAGATCTAGAACGGGGCGGGGACGTTGAGCTTCAGTTAATGAATGAACAACCCTAGTCAGATGGTCTACACACAATGCTATACTGAAAAATATTTTTAATGAAATATGCCTCAAAAGTCCAGTTTGTCCCTGGCGCTCTGAGATGGGACTTGATCCCATGAGCTTTCGCAATATTGGCGACTGCTCTAACAACAGCTAGGTAGCTCAGTGGTTAGAGCAGTCGCCTAACCTAACCTAACCTAACCTATAGGACTGACGAATTTGTTGTCTGTACACCGAGATTTAATAAACTATACAACGGACTGTCGAACGGACAGCCTGATTTAAGAGGAAGGGGATATGTGTAATGTAGTACCACGCAGGCGAAGCCGCTGGTGATAAGCTAATAGTACAATATTATGATTTAATTTTTTATAGTTTTGGAAATACTTTTCTTAGTTTAATTTAAAAGGTATTTAGTTTTAAACCACTCAGAATTTCAGAGAACAGACAGTGAACTTTCTTAGGTGGTATTACCTTAAGCTAAATAAATTTACTGGAGTCCTGAGACAATTTAGCTTATGCTTGAGTACTTTAATTAGATCGACTTAATTTGTGGCCTTCTTGATACTGTTTAATGGCAAATGATTTGAAATTTTGGGCTGAATAGTTTAGTATATAATAGTAGATTTCAATATTCTAAAATACCGAAGAAGGATAAATGTTTTCAAACTTTTTTTGATGTAGTGAGTTCACTTAAATGTATAAGGATTTTGAATTTCATTACGAATAAATTATTCCATGTATGAGTTATTCTTAGACATTTGTATTGTAAAACCACTTAAGACATAGGAGCTGAAAATAAATAGATTAAAAGATTATGAAATCCATCACTTTCTATAATGGAACATATTTATGAAAAAGGCACTGTATTAGACTGTAAGAGTTAAATAAAAGAATAAAATTAAACATGTCGTATTCTCCATTACTTTGCGGCATAATATTCCAAGTGCTTTCCACTTGAATACTCTGGATATTGCTTCAAAGGCCAAGGTTCACGCATGAGAGCACTCGACTTTGCATATTAATATGACACCAATACTTGAACATGTAAGGCAGGTTGAGTAAAATAAAAACTGTTTCGTCACGGAACTATGGTTTTAATTAGTCTATAGTACTTTATTGCTAAACTTTTTTTTGGATTGAGAAAAGTTTGGATATCAAGTCAAACTGTTTACAAGTTACTAATTAAAAAGTTTCACGAACTATAATGACAAATTAAATAATAAACAATTGTTACCATGGTAATGTTTAAATCCCTATACAAACTTGCATTCACATTTTATTCTTTTATTTACTCTTTATGGGATAAAATATAACATATGATGTAACTTCTCTTGGGTAATCTTTTCATAAATCAGCCCAGTAGTTTCGGTGCTTATTCAATGCAAATAAACAAACATACAAACAATCCTATTTTTCCTCTTTGCAATTAGTGTAGATAAATCATTTCGAACTGAAATTTCTTGTTCCAATATTCCTATAGATATACAAACTGGCACAAATTTGAAACTTTCGTATCAGATATTTGTCTTTCGCAAATGTACTCATACATGTATTCGATTTTCGTAACGATATTTAAGTAATATTTTTGTTTCGGCAAAAACAATTTACCAATTTGTTGAAATACATATGTTTCCTGATCGTATTCTGAGGCCATCAGTCTTAAAATTGGATATATTAAAATATAGTTTTTGGTTAATATATTTCTGTACAGATAACCCGTGTATGAAATGCAGAGTTAAAACACTCAGATAATTTAAGATACCAATAAAAGAACATTATCTGACACCAAGACTTTCCATTTACTATAAATGCTTATTATCACTACTCATGCTTTTTAGTTATCTGGCCATACGGTTTTTCACTGTATCATTAATATTTATAGGTACTGCTGTTCTCTTTGTGTCGTTCCATAAAAATATTAATTCAAAAAGTTTTATGCTCTATAATTTATTCCAGAATGAAGAGCCTTGCAGTTTCTAAATTCCACAATTTGATCTCATACAATTCTGTGAAAATAAAAATAAAAAATATTAAAGATACCCTTTTTGTTGTTTCAGATAGATAGACGATAGATGAAGAGTGAGATCGATCAAGAATGCCTCCGGAGGTGACCTAACGTCGCTCCAATGAATGAACCCTGCTGGATATGACGAATTCCACCTACAGCCTACAAGACTTAAATTGTCGATTAGTACCAGGCGTCGGATGCGGCAACTCCACATATTTGGGCTTTAACTGCCACGGTGGATACACAGACACCTTAACTGATTTCACCTGCGATTTAAATCTCGATATCCAGAATGAGACAGTATACAGCTGCCATTCATGCCTCAATGATACTCTGGGCTTTGCTAACAGTACTTTATGCCACGCTGGACTCCAGTTGAATTTGGTAACGGCTATATTTGAAAGTGCATTAAAAACTATGTGGTTGAGATTACCCATTACGGACTTCTGTGAATGGGACTCATTGTATTGCTTCAGTAATGGGTTCAACCGAACGTTAATCGTGAAAGACGGATCAGTCAGCAGTATTGAAGCTTATCAGTGTAGCTGGAATTTTAGAAACAATACTGGTGATGTTATCGGACCTAAGAACTATGATTGGAGTTTCTTGTTTGTAATATTGTTCATAGTGGCCGGTGGTGTTGGGAACATTCTGGTATGTTTGGCTGTGTGCTTAGATAAACGATTGCAGAACGTGACGAACTATTTCCTGCTGTCACTCGCGATCGCTGACTTGCTTGTCAGTTTGTTTGTGATGCCAATGGGTGCGATTCCTGGATTTCTAGGTAAGGAAGTGAACAGTTTCTATTTTTATGTAACTGTAGTTTATAATTAAATGTTTTTTTACTGTGATATGCGACACTTACAAAACGAATCTAAGGAAATTGCTACAAGGATATTGATTGATTCAAAATAATGTTTGTGAGGGAATATGTCACTTAAATACATATGAAAGATTAAAATTAATGTGCGTTTACATAACAGAATACATATATCGGCAAGAAATTGTGTTTTCAATTATTTTCATCGATTTGCATCTAGACGCATATTTATACAGATAAAGCTATTTATAAATATGTAAACACTAAATCTTTAGAGCGATAGGCGTCTACACTTTTAAAATTTCATCCAGAGTTATTCAAAGCGTCACTAATGAGGTAGTTATATCATTTTTTAAATATCTATAACAGCCAGAAGCTGTCAAAAAACTTAGAAAGCAAAAGGAAATACATATTTTATCTGAGTTTCCTACACACTTTCGTAATTTGACATTACTGATTAACCTTGATCTTATTTAGAGACATATAATTTGCGGAAATTAGCATAGTGCCAACTTCAAAGCCAATGCTGATTAAAAATTGGCGATTTAGATTTTACGTAACATATTCTTACTTACCAGAAATATGAACGGTACCAGTTTCCGCAGCTGACATTTTATGTGCACATAACATTTGGTTTTTCTGACATTAATGAAAACAAAAACGTATCACAAAGCGACCATATTTTTTGTGCTGACATTTTAATGTCGCCTCTTACACCGGCGCCCGAAAGAGGTAAGGCCGTATATTATATTTATTGTTTGTTATTGTAACTCTTGCTCTGGGCCTGCGATATTTGCTTTATTCGCGATATTGAAGGGTGTTAGTTATCGGCTGGTATGGTGTTACATCGGCGAAAGGTTTTGTGTATTAGTGTGTTCATAATAAACGTAGGACATATTTTTGGACATATTAATTTGTTGTGTTACTTTCAAAATGTGGAAAGTATGTGGTATGAAAGAAACACGAAGTTAATAATATACAATGCTCAAATTTACGACAGAAGTCGTAAGTTATGTTTGTAGATGGGATTATTAATTCCATAACAAATAGTAAAGCTTACAGCTTTTCCTTCTACAACATAAGTCGATTTAAAAAAAATGAAGCTTGGAATCCTCTACGCTTCACTTAGCTATTTTTTTTGCAAAATCAGAAGTAAAAACTTTGGTATAAAGTATTTTTAATTAATATCAATAATGTTATCAATTTTGTTGCATAGACTAGACTATGTTTAGGATAAGTTATGTAAAATGCGTTTTGAATTGTAAATATAACTAAGATAACAGAATTAATGTAGAACTATAATTATATTTCTTGGAAGACCTAATTAAAGTTAGAATTTTGTTTAGTTTAGAAAGAAACGACAAAATTGCCTTTAAAAATCTTTCATAATTTAGACTGGTAGTCATAAAAGCACTATATCAAATATTTAAGCAGATAAAACTTTTATCTGAGCAGAGTGGACTTAAAAATATAGAGAGCTTTCGAGCTAACGAGAGTGGTTTCATAATTGTTTTTAAAAACTGTGAAATAAATTTGTGGCTATATTTTAATGGACTCTTTCTTGATGGTTGGTTCTGGAATTTGGATTTAAGATCTCCATTCAATATTTTACGCAGTATAGTCGAATTATTACGTTTATAAATGAAAGAATAGAAATTCTGATTGTCCAGAAATATGTCCGTGTATATCTATACTAATATTATCAAGATTCGATTGTATGTTTGCAAAATAAATTAGTTTGTAGTAATGATACATTTTATAGTTAGTACAACCTTATTGGGCTTTCTGATATTTGTTACTTATGTGATAGCAATGGCTCAGAAGATGGCGCACTGATTAGCGCATTCTATCCGCAATGCGGAGTCAAAGCAACTTTGTAATGGTCTATCATAGAATGGGTGACCAAAATTTTACTACTTCTTTTACCTTCCCAAGCTTCGTTAAGTCATTAGTCCCTTTTAATCCGCACTTGGCTAGCGTGCTGGGTGGTGGCCTGTTTGATTTGATTCCATTCTCAATCATTGATAGGCTGATGATGATCTGATATAGCTTGATATAATTTACACTGTTATCATATTAAAGGTTATTGGCCGCTGGGTGTGGTGTGGTGTAACGTGTACGTGACCTGTGATGTACTCGCCTGCTCCGCCAGCATCATGCACATGTGTTTCATCAGTATCGGCAGGTTGGTATTACAGTTTATACTCTTTAATATAGTTTATTATAAAAGGGGAAATCCGGGAGACTGGATCAGGTAGAAGACATGATCCTAATACTTAAATCCATTTAAAATTCACGCGGTTGTTATTGCTGTTAGATTGTCTGCTGTGTTTTCTCAAATAATGTCTCAAAAGAACAGATCATCTAAGGACCTGACAGCTCACCCGAAATCGAATTTAAAACAGATTGTGTTATAGAGTATGTCTCCCATCTGATTGAATCTTCCGGATTTTCTCTATAGTTGACTATAGGTGAAAAGAGGACAATGAAAGGAAGAAAGAAAGTAATCGGTCACTCGGTCTGCGGTGCACTAGTCAAGTAACTTTCGCAATGGCCGGCCATAGGATGGGTCGCCTAAAAGTTATATATCCAACTCTATGCTTTGAAAGGCATGTGAAGCAGGGTACCGGTTGCATGTACAGTCGTTAATACTTACCATTAGTGGAGACATTAATAGGTGATGAAATTATTGAATTTACTATCCGGTAAAACTGAATTAAAATAAAGTATACATTTTTTTAATAACAAAAGCCCAGGAAATCTTGACGTTTTCTAGACATGATAACAAAAATATTCTTCTAAAGATAAAACAATACCCTACTATCGCGCTTTAAGACGGTCTGGATTTTCATAAGGGACCAATAAGATAATGTTATCGACCGTCACGAAAAATGTGATAAAATATACTGACTTACGATGAATAAAGACGCCAGAAATAGATTTCATAGTAAATTAAACACATTGCAGTCTTCTTCGAAGTTTTACTTCTTTATTATTCTGTAGAATTCAGATAATATCTGTAGATCTATTATTACGTTCCCCGTATTACTAATAAACATCACGTGCATTCAAACTGGTAGAGAAATTTACTAAATGAACATATTTTTATAGCGATTCATTTACTTGCAGCTAGCGTGAATCAAATTAATAATAAAATTATGATTAATAATAAAAACAGCCAAAAACAATTTTCAAAACCCTCCATAAGCTTGGTATTAGTCAAATGTTTGTATACAGGGCTATTGTTACCTCCTCTGTACAATGAAACCTCCTCTGTTTATGAAAGAAAAAGTTCTGGCCGTCCACGTAGTGTTCGTGCGAAAAAGACGACAGTTATCATGTCCGAAAGCAAAAGATTTTGTCTCAGGAGATAATGTATTTTTTTTATTTATTTATTATTTCGTACACTAAATAACTTACAATCCTTACTAAACACACATACAATAATCGATGGGTTGTTAATACTCCTTCGTGTGCTATATTCCTATGCAGAGTATACTTTAATTAAATAATTATTTCGATGTGTTTACGTATCATATTTTGGTCCTCCACAACATTATTGGGTTATATGCGATCGTTATTACGCTTTGATATTTTATCGTGAATGCCCAAATAATTAATGACCGTAATATTATTAGTCCAATCTATTGGTGGAGTCCCTTTAGCAGGACACGTGATTTGTTTACAGCTTTTATTATTATATATACTTTGTACTGATCATCATATGTAATGTTGTTTAATATTTATTTATTTATATGAATAATTATCACATGGAACATAAATATTAGTACCTATGAATAAAATCAAATAAATCCATAGTACATTGACTAATGTCGAATGTCCGTAAGTCCGTGTGATTGTTATCGAAAGCACAGAATGACTATAGAAATCGAGATACAACTAACTCAACTGTTGTTCGTTCTCATTTATATTCAAGACGTTGCCTTGATGCAATTTTTTTTTTCAATAGTGCAGACGGTAGCGACTTCGTTTCCTACTATTTTTTCTCGTCTGAGCTTGTCTTTGTGAATTTGCTGTTTAAAAAGGTTCTTAAACCGCAAAATCTATAATACAAGTCGTTTTTTAAACGTTACGTAAGTAGCTCGGTGGCGTAGTGGATTAGCGCCGCGGCCCGTGATCGTAGTCGTTAAGGAACTTTCGTAAGGGTCGGTCACGGGATGGGTGATCAAAAATTATTATCTCGAGCTACTCCGTGATTCGGAAGGCACGTTAAGCCGTTGGTCCCGGCTGCATTTGCAGTCGTTAATACCCTCCAATCCGCATTGGGTCAGCGTGGAGGGTCATGGCCCATCCTCCTTAACCATCCATAAGGAATGCCCCTGCAGTGGGGACGTAAAAGGGCTGATGATAAAGTCGTTTTTTAAGGTTAGATTACGTAACCTATTAATTACATAATGGTTAAGATATTCTTATTGAAAAATGCATAAAAATCCACTTGTCTTGTACCCACGACTTTTCGCAATATGGGCGACTGCTCTAACCTCTGAGCTACATAACCTAGCAGGACTGACGGATTTTTTAAGCACATGTTACTTTTCGCTACTACAGAGCGTATTTTCATCAATTTTCATGCAACAGCTGAAAGAAATATTTTTACAAATACTTTAAACTTTCGATTAAGATGAAAATTCGTTCTAATATTATACTTTATAGCATTGTCATTGCAAAATTGGTCAGATATAATAATGGTTATGATGTTAATGTTTTTGGTGTAAATTTACTTAACACCAACGGCAACATTATTGGAGTATTTTTATAGAAAAGTAATAAATTTTTCATTTGATGATTAATATATAACCATCAACAAGAGGCGTTGGATAGCTCAGTGGTAAGGACGGTCGGACTGTGAAGCAACTCTCGCAATGGTCGGTCATAGGACTGGTGACCAAAAGTTTATTATCTCAAGCTCCTCCATGTTTTGGAAGGCACTTTAAGTTCAATAGCTGAACGTAACGGCTGCATAATAAGCACTGGGTCCGCGTAGTACTAATTGGATTCCATTTATATAGAAGGCCTTAGCCACAGCAGTGGGATATTAATAAGCTGGTGATGATGAATCATCATTTACAAGGGCTGATAAAATACCTTACTTTAATTTGACTAGATATTTGATTATTTTAATAGAAGGTTGAATATTGTACCTATCTAGTTGAATATTGTATTCTTTTATTATTATTATTATTTTATTCTTCTTATATGCAAAATGTATCATTATTTTATGTTTCCCAGAACTTAACAAAAATTAATAAATGTTTGAAATTAATGAATCATCGAACTTGTATAACTTGGTTCAGAGCGATCCCATAACTTTGGCGCCATATTAACTATTACTTCAAATGGCTAGTTCTAACAATGCGTACATTTTTTTTGTTGGCCGGCACTTTCAGAAAAGGCCCAAAAAATGATGTCCTTTATCAATATTATCAACTATAAAGTGACTCACATATTTTTATAATAAATACCATTTCTGTATTATTAGATACAGAGCGAGTAGCTTGGTGGCGTAGTGGTTAAGCGCCGTGGCCCCCGATCGTTGTCGTTAAGCAACTTTCTCAAGGGTCGGTCACGGGATGGGTGACTAAAAAATTACTATCCCGAGCTACTCCGTACTTCGGAAGGCACATTAAGCCGTTGGTCCCGGCTGCATTTGCAGTCGTTAATACCCTCCAATCCGCATTGGGACAGCGTGGAGGGTCATGGCCCATCCTCCTTAACCATCCATAAGGAAGGCCTGAGCCTCTGCAGTGGGAACGTAAAAGGGCTGATGATAATGATGAGATACATAGCGTGTATATGTTATCACATCAGGTTGAAACAAATCTACTAAACCGAAGCCAGTACCTATTCCAAAGATGATCGAATGTATAATTTTTAAAATCAGTCTTGTTTTAATAGCCATTAGGTGTAAAATATTATATTACTTGTATTTTACTGCAAAGATCCTGTTTTGTTAATATGTATATTTTTTTATGTTCAAACAAAGAGAAAAGTACTTAAAGAAAATACAGTACAAATTACATTTTTAACACCGAAGATCGATTTAATTGTTCCCACTATTACTTAGTATAATGGACATTACTTGTAGTCTAGGACAAGAAGGAGCCATTAGTGTTCTGCAAAATTCTCAATTGTTTGCTTTTAGGAGAGGAGATGCAATTAAATGTTTAATTATTTAGTTTTACGAGGTTTGAGTTTAAGTTAGTTAATTTAATATACTGATACTCATTAAATTCAGAAAACTTTCTTTTAAAATAGGGTAGCAGACCCAATTTTTGTCCACTGTCCCGTTTTTGGCAATTTGGTACTTCAAGTGATTCTAGCTAACGCATAGACAAATACTTTACCGTAAATGGTTTTTAAAATTTTATATTATGGCAAAATAATACCGTTGACAGCTGCGATATGTCAAAGTTAACTTACTTGTAATTCTTAAAATGGCAAACACCGGTTCGTCTGCCCTACAGTAGATTGTACCGAAGACATGCTGAACGTTTTTTTGTAGTATATGCTTAAACAAATTGTTAATGCCATAACTTATGATGATAATGGTTCCTGCCTATTTCGATCAAGGTTTTGACTCCTAGTCCGATGTTGATGCGTACGATGACCGCTATTATAGCCGTACTTATACACAACACGGAAACTTGAGTTAATGTATTAATTGTGAATGGTAGCAGCAGGCCTGGAATTCAACAAATCGCGTTTAGCATCAAGGTCTGCTTGAAAGTTCTGCTTAAAATTGCGGACTTACCTGCAAACAGTCTTTTATTCCATACGGTGAGCTGTCAACACTTAGAGAATTCGGTCCTACAAGATAGAGAGTGAGATTACTGGTGACTTGGTCATGGCTTCTTGTCATGGTCAAGTCACCAGTACTCTCACTCTTGGCTTGGCTTTTCAGTCTCATCATCATCTCACGAGAAAATGCACCGTAATGGTTTTGGTAGATAGGGGACCAAACAAACGAGAGTACAAACGAGATGTCGTGGATACTGAAATATTAGATAGTGGGGGACCCTAAGTTTCAGTAGTAGTGGTAAACATCATATTGCACTCTAAGAATTTTACTAATTAATTAATTCCATAATAGTAGTAACTAAATAAGCATCATCCGACAAAGTTGTCTCATTTATTTGTTTACTCAACGATCCCGACCACCCACCT